CTTTTAAATTTATTTATTTCCAAAAATACCCTCTCCCTTTCATGAAAAGATGTGACTTTTATGATCAATTGAGACTTTTATGAAAAATTGTGACTTTTATGAAATGTTGTGACCTTTCTGAATGGTTGTAACTTTTCCAAAGAGTTGTAACATTTTCGATAAGGCACAATAATCATTTGTTCACACTACCCTTTTTGTCTATAAATAGAGGGATTTCCTCTCATTTTAAAATAACGAAAATTCTGAACTTCTTCTTCTTTTGCACAATTAAATATTCGTGTACTTTGTTCTTGTTGAGTGGCTCGCTGCAACATTGTTTTTGTATCAATACACTTGTGAATAGAATCGTTCCATCCTGAGAGGATCTATTCCTTTGAACCTCGGGTACTAGAGGGGAATAATTTTCTTAAGGGGACATTGTGCATTCAGTGGGCTCAATTTTTTTCTTTATGTTTCATTCTATTGTTATAGATCTTGATATATCTTTTACATTCATTAATTTATGCTTATGATATTAATTGTTGTTTTGAGTACATGCTTTAAACTTTTTTGTTTATGTTTCTGTAAAGTTATTGTTATAAGTATTTGTTTGTCCATATAAAGATTATTTATTTATTAGAAAATTTAATATCTCATGTTGATGTTCATCTAATTTCCCAAAAATATCAAATAGTAACACTTCCTGGAGGCAAAAGGATAAATTATAAAATCAAATTAAAAATGATTGATTGAAGGATAAATGATAAGATGTTATAATTATCATTTTCCTTTATATTATTAATGTTCGTTACTACGTAATCTTGTATGTAAGACAACATAGTGTTTTAGTTTTAATGACTGATAGGTTTTAAGTATTATTTTATATATTTTTGTGATATCAAATTCCCGCGCTAAGTGCGGATAATTTTACTAGTTACTAATATAGTTACACTTGACCAGAAGATTTAGTGTAGAGTTAGAGTTGAATACCTGACTTGTCTGGCTACTTTCTTTTTCTTTCTCATGGTTATAACTTTGTGTTCCCATTCTGCAATCATCCTGAAAAGCTGTATCGGTTTGAGAGTTGATGACATAATATATATTATGGATATTCCAATAATGAGTCCACAACCGTAGCCCATCAGAACCGCTTCCCAACTTATCTCAAAGCCAGAATCTTCTTCTTGATCATCTAGTGTGGATGGAGTCATTGATTGTGGTACATGACCATGACCACTTCCACCACAATCTTTTGAAATTGGAAAGCCTCGCAATTCATCATTCCCTTCAAATGAACCACTTTCAAACGTAGCAAACTGGTTTCCACTAGGGATGCATCCAACAAGATGATTGTGAGAGACACTTAAGAATCCAAGAAATGTCAGAGATGCAAGTTGCACTGGTATCTCTCCACCAAGTTTGTTAAATGAGAGATCCAACGATTGAAGCGCTGATACACTTCCAAGTGATGTTGGTATATGGCCTTCCAAACTATTATGAGATAGGTTCAAAAGAACTAGTGAAGTGAGATTTCCTATAACACTTGGAATGTAACCTTCAAATCTATTGCTTGAAAGATCAATGGCTGTGTACATAGAAAAAATTCTAACAAGTTCCATGCTCATTCCTTTTGATGAAATTGTTATGGAATCTTTGTAATAGTAATCTCCAATATACATTGGGGTTTTCATGTTTTCATCAGCTTTCTTCATGGCTTGAAAATTCTCCAAAAGATGTGTTGGTAAATCCCCATAAAATCCATTGGATGATATGTCTATAATTCGAAGTTGAGGAAACAATCTCTTAGTCTTTGATGTTCTGATGGGTCCATGCAATTTATTTGATCTTAAAATCAAAACCATCAAGTTTGGTAGAGTTCCCAACCACATTGGGAATGTGTCATTCAACTCATTGTTTCCTAAATCAAGAACTTCCAGTCGCTTGCTATTGATCAAAGAATGTGGGATTTCCCCCTCTAACTTATTTCCACGCAAATTAAAGCTTCTGAGTGGATTTCCAACACTAAAGTTAGTTTGAATTGTCCCACTAAGATTATTGTGGCGCAAATCTAAAACCTCAATTGCGCTCATGTTACCAAAACAAGGTGGGATTGCTCCCTTCAAACTATTACTTGCCAAATCTAGAACTCTCAGAAATTCTAGTTTGCAAATAGTCGAAGGGATATATCCGCTAAGCTTATTATGTGATATGTAGAAGTTCTCTATAGAACTTGGTGGAATAAGTAGTGACCCTTGCAGCAAATTGGAGCGCAAATCCAAGTCATAAAGAGAGTTGAGCAAATTAGACTTGACTTGATCCTTATCATCCCATGAGAAACTATTATATGAAAGATTAAGTGTGCCTAGTCCACTCAAGTTTGAAAACATGCTAAAATTTAGATTGTCACTGAAATTGTTTAATGATAGGCTAAGAAATATCAAGTTCTCCTGGTTTAGGAGTGAGTTTGGAATGGGACTTTGCAAGTAATTTTTTTTTAGATCTATCCAAAACAGTTCTTTGGATTTGAACTCCTCAAGTTGGCCACTGAAGCTGTTATTGCTCAAGTCTAAATATTTCAGGGACGGAAGTGAGGATATCCAGGATGGTATCATTCCATTCAAACTGTTTGATGACATCGAGAGTAGCTGTAGGCTTTGAAATCCACTAACATCAGAAGGAATTGGACCTGTTAGGAAATTGGATTGAAGATTTAGTGATTCCAGTTGTGTCCAATTTTCATTGAATAGTCGAACAGGTCCAAAAAAGTTACTCATGGGTTCAGGTACGTTTGTAAAATTCACACCATTTAGGGATAAATCCTTCAGAGATGCACTGCTATTCCATTTGGTTATTGGAAAGCTGACTGAAAGTTGAGAATTCCTTGATAAATCAAGCAATCTCAAGTTTGGAAGGTGGAAAACTCTTTCAGGTAATATCCCATATAATTGTGTGCCTGGAAGACGCAAAGTTATTAAATAATAAGAGAAATTTGAAGGAATGGTTGAAGAGATGCCCATATTGGAAAGCTCAAGCTCTCTTAATTGGGTCAAGTTCTTAAGAAGCTGTCCAAGTTTGTGCGGTCCAAGTGTTAAACCAGTTGAGTAACCATAGATACGAAGAGAACGTAGTTTAGAAAGATTAGAAATTTCAGAAGGTATTTGACCTGTGAACGTCGAATAGGATAGATCAAGATATGTCAAGCTAGAAAACCCACCGAAATTAGGTGAAATGTTTGAGTCAGAGAAATCATTCATAGATAAATCGAGCCTTTTGAGAGCAGAGAGTTGGAAGATGCTACTGTTGGAAAGGAACTTGCCTTGAAGTTGGCTACATCTGAGGTCAAGCTCAATCACTTTGCTTGTCGTCTCATCACAATGAACTCCATCCCACGAGCAACAATCCGTGCTTGTATTCCATGACAGTGTCTTAGGAGAAAGACCTTCACATTCCTCAAAAGTAGAAGCAAAAGGGTTGATGACAAACGTCTTCTTGAATTCTAGAAGAGCAAGAGCTTGATATTTGGGACACAAATGAGGCAAACATGAAGAGAAACCAAGTTGAAAGAGGAAAACATATAATACAATTAGTGGAAGTTTTTCAATATTTTCCATCTCTACAATGGAAGCTCAAAAAATAGAAATCAATTAAGAAAGTTGTGTTGTGCTGTTGTATACACTACCATAATCATTTATAGGTGTATACACTACAAATTTGTCAAGCTTGAGTGTTGCATTAGTCAAATCCATAAGAGTGAAGAAAATATATTAAGTTGCACATTGTTCATACATAAATATTATAAGTTGCACATTGTTCATGTAAAAGATATAAAAAGGCTACACATTTTGTATCAGTCAAAAAGCATTTGCTGGAAATATATTATTGATTCCTTCATTAGAAAGAATATATAGTTTAATTAACACGCTTAGAGATTGATTGGATTGATATAGAGATGTCACATGGTGAATAAAATATTATATCTTTCACTTTTGTGTCTCAATTAACAATTATTTCTTCTCTGTCCTAGCGCTACCATTCACTTTCTTTGAGTTTCCTCTCCTCCTCATGGTGCAGGGTTAATTTCATGGATGGTCACTCAATATTTATTTTACTTTACCCAAAATAATTTAATTATTTTTAGTAGCAATAAAGTCATTTAACTTTGCCTAATATCTTTGGAAGTTACTGAACTATTTTATGATAAAAAGTCAGTCTGCTTTGTCCAAGTATATGCAGGAAGGTTTTGTAGGCACTAGTTATAATCATACACGCAAAGGTTTTGTAGCCACTAGTAACTTTATATGATACTTAGACAAAATTGATAAACTTTTGTGTTTCAAAATTTAGTTTAGCGACCTTCTAGATACTCGAGTAAAGTAAATAACTTTTTCGTTTAAAAAAAATAGTTTAATAATGTTAGGGCAAGAAAGATGAATGACCATATGTGATTTAGATCCACACGAGTTTGTTTGTAGAGATTAATATTTTCAGGTGTGAAATACATTATAGAAAATATCTCGGCGGCTGAATTATTTATGGTACTCTAACACTAAATCATATTTAAGGGCCTTTAAACTTATTTCATAAAATTTAGAAGAAAATTTCATAAAACATGCTACTATAGATGCTGAATCCTTAATGAAACAATAAGTTTCAATAATTACATAAATTGTTCAAGATTAGTTTCTGATACATATATTTGATTTGAGTGCTCAGTGTATCTCAGATACATGTGTGTTAAAAGTGATCTATTTTTAGTTGATTAAGATCTTCTATAACTGAAACACATTAAATAAGGAGAAAATCACGCCTACTGCGATTTATGAAGATTCTGTGTATCCATGAGCTAAAAGAGAGAACAAAAAATCTAAATGCTCTTCTATCAACCCTTCATCACTACGAAAAATCGAATTCAAGTGACTATATTCATGATCCATTTCATCTGTGATTTCTAATTGACAGTATTAGTAATGACTCTTTGTATATATGTTTTCACAATGGAAGATACTAAGGAGCTGAATGTGAAACTTGCATCTCTTTTCAAATTTGTTTCGACTTCATATCATCTTTTGGTTTAGCAACCACATTTTTGACGTCCTAGAGTTATTGTATTATTTGTAAAGGGAAAGAGTGGTAGTCTCATCAAGTCTTTCATGTAGCATCCTAGGGATGGTGTAATTTTTGTCTAATAAGTGATTTGTGCATATATCCTTCTATTTTCGTGATTTTTTATTTACATAATCCACATTCTCTATCTCAGGGACCTTCATCAAATCCTGAAGCAAATTGGGGTTACTTCAAATCGGCTGCGATTTTAAAATCTAAGGGAAATGGAAAGTGATGTCTCCGCTGCATGTATTCACCTACATGATAATGAGAGTTCAGGTTAGCAAATTGCAGGTACTTCAAATGGGGTGCTGTTTCAAAATAGATTCAGTTTTATTTGGTTATTAGCTGAAATTATCCAACATAATTTAGATGTTTATTTAAATGAGAGTTTTTCCTTTCTTCTTGCTATTGTATTCTTTGACATAATTGCTTTTCAATTAATCATCTTCTTTCACAACTTCACATTTCCTGCATGCTGTGGTATGAATTTCACATATGAAGTTTTTGGTTGATTATTGAGCCTTCTAGTAATAATTTACTTGTCTGGAGTTCTTTGCTTATCAAATAAATGAAAAGGTGCATGGTGTCAAACCGTCTATACATATTATCATGTCCAAGATTTTAGAAGGAAATCATTCGTGACCTTTTCAGAATTTTTATCTGTGTTACTAGAATTACCAATTTTAGAAGCAAAATTGTTTGTGTCATTAAGTTCGTCATATTTAGGTTCCTAAGTATATCTTCCGTGCTTTTAAGATATTGATTTGGTTTGAGAAGGGCTTATAAAACTAAGCTATCTAGTGAATTGGGTAGCTAGTTTGAAGCTAGAAGGATGTTGATTAGTTAGACGTGATTAAATTTAAGGCGCATTTTCCCCCACCCTCTTTTTCCTGTATATCTTATTTGTAGTACTGCTTAGACATTAGAAAATCTTTATCCGAATATCATGATATAGCAACGTTCTTTTCTTAGGGAGGTTTGTTTCACAGAACTTGGCATCAATAATTAGTGCCACTACAGAGAGGTTTTGAAATATAATAGAACTTTCATCATTTAAACTAGTTAGTTACAAAAAAATTGAAGGAAACACTCAAACTATGACTTCATTCAACTCAACACTTCAGAAACATTACAAACCATGAAAGAACTTGCTGTATATTATCCATGGCCTCAGCAACTACTTAAATTGGAACCTGCAATTTATAAGAAAAATGAAATATTCAGCTGAAGAGCATCAATAAATCATAAGGGGCAAAGGAAATGGAATACACATCAATTATCCTCATAACCAAAGACCAATAAAACAAAAACTTTTTTGTATTGAGTTGAGCAAATGTGTTTAATTTACTCCATAAAACATTCTATTATTTAGTAGTATAAGAAGTAACACTTAATCAAATGAAAATATATACTACTAATATTGTTAGACTTGAGCAGAAGATTTAGTGTAGAGTTAGAGTTGAATACCTGACTTGTCTGGCCACTTTCTTATTCTTTCTCATGGTTATAACTTTGTGTTCCCATTCTGCAATCATCCTGAAAAGCTTTATCGGTTTCTGAGTTGATGACATAATATATATTATGGATATTTCAATAATGAGGCCACAACCGTAACCCATCAGAACTGCTTCCCAACTTATCTCAAAGCCAGAATCTTCTTGTTGAACATCTAGTGCGGATGGAGTCGTTGATTGTGGTACATGACCCCGACTACGTCCACCACAATCTTTTGAAATTGGAAAGCCTCGCAATTCATCATTCCCTTCAAATGAACCACGTTCAAACTGGTTTCCACTAGGGATGCATCCAACGAGATGATTGTGAGAGACACTTAAGAATCCAAGAAATGTCAGAGATGCTAGTTCTCTCCACCAAGTTTGTTAAATGAGAGATCCAACTATTGAAGCGCTGATACACTTCCAAGTGATGTTGGTATATGGCCTTCCAAACTATTATAAGATAGGTTCAACATAACTAGTGAACTGAGATCTCCTATAACACTTGAAATGTTACCTTCAAATCTGTTGCTTGAAAGATCAATGGTTATGTATATCGAAAAAATTCTAACAAGTTCCATGTTCATTCCTTTTGATGAAATTGTTATGGAATCTTTGTAATAGTCATCTCCAATATACCTTGGGGTTTCATGTTTTCCTCATTCTTCATGGCTTGAAAATTCTCGAAAAGATATGTTGGTAAATCCCCATAAAATCCATTGAATGAGATATTCGAAGTAGAGGAAACAATCTTATAGTCTTTGAGGTTCTGATGGGACCATGCAGTTTATTTGATCTCAGGCTTAATACCATCAAGTTTGGTGAGTTCCCAACCACATTGGAAATGTGTGATTCAACTCATTGTCTCCTAAATCAAGAACTTCCAATCTCTTGCCATTGGTCAAAGAGCATGGGATTTTCCCCTCAAACTTATTTCCACGCAAATTAAAGCTTCTGAGTGGATTTCCAACACTAAAGTTTCTTTGAATTTTCCCACTAAGATTATTGTGGCGCAAATCTAAAACCTCAATTGTGCTCATGTTACCAAAACAAGGTGGGATTGCTCCCTTCAAACTATTACTTGCCAAATCCAGAATTCTCAGAAATTCTAGATTGCAAATAGTCGAAGGGATATGTCCGCTTAGGTTATTATGTGATATGAAGAAGTTCTGTATAGAACTTGGTGGAATAGGTACTGACCCTTGCAGCAAATTGGAGCGCAAATCCAAGTCATAAAGAAAGTTGAGCAAGTTAGACTTGACTTGATCCTTATCAGCCCATGAGAAACTATTATATGGAAGATTAAGCATGCCAAGTCTACTAAAGTTTGAAAACATGCTGAAATTTAGATCGTCACTGAAATTGTTTGATGAAAGGCTAAAAAACATCAGGTACTCCTGGTTTAGGAGTGAGTTTGGAATGGGACTTTTCAAGTAATTTGTTCCTAGATCTATCCAAACCAGTTCTTTGGATTTGAACTCATCAAGTTGGCCATTGAAGTGGTTATTGCTCAAGTCTAAATATTTTAGGGACGGAAGGGAGGGTATCCAGGATGGTATCATTCCATTCAAATTGTTTGATGACAACGAGAGTACCTGTAGGCTTTGAAGTCCACTAACATCAGAAGGAATTGGACCTGTTAGGAAATTGGATGAAAGATATAGTGTTTCGAGCTGTGTCCAATTTTTGTTCAATAGTCGAACATGCCCAAAAAAGGTACTCCCGTTCAGGTACTTTTGTAAAATTCACACCATAGAGATTTAAATCCTTAAGAGCTGCACTGCTATTCCATTTGGTTGTTGGAAAGCTGACAATGAGTTGAGAATTTGCTGCCAAATCAAGCAATCTCAAGTTTGGAAGGTGGAAAACTCTTTCAGTTAACATTCCATATAATTGTGTGCCTGGAAGACGCAAAGTTGTTAAATAAGAAGAGAAATTCGGAGGAATGGTTGAAGAGATGCCCACATTGGTAAGGTCAAGTTCTTAAGAATAGCTGTCCAAGTTTGTGTGGTCCAAGTGTTAAATCA